TGTGTGTGTGTGTGTGTGTGTGTGTGTGTGTGTGTGTGTGTGTGTGTGTGTGTGTGTGTGCAAATGGCTACTTTCTAGAAAACGCATTGGAAATGCGTTACTTGGAATCATTTTTCCCCTATTATTGGACACGGCCAACAGCTATTTCAGGGACTGAATTCGAAATGAATTCTTTTTTTATTTACAGGCACTTAAGGCCAGGCGTCAACTAAATGACCTCGGCCATTTGAAGAGGCAAATTTGTCACCAATGATCATCCAGAACCAGGTGTGTAAATGTTTGAAACTGCAGAGGTTACTGGCATCCACTCATTAAAGTTTTTTTTCAATCTGAAATGGACAGTACTTGATTTAGCTCTAAGTGCATTCGAAAATTTTCACTCCTCGTCTAATTCGCTATTTACTGCACCATTTTATAGCTCTCCCATGAACACCGAATGCAGCTCCCCATTTTATTTTCACCGGATAATAATGTGAGGCACTTGATGTCTCGAGTCACTTCCACCGAAACACTGTAGTTTCTCCATTTCCTGCCTATTATCGAAGTTTTTCCTTGATCCGATCTATAAATGGTTAATTGGGTCACTAATACTACGCGGATGATAAACTCCAAGAAACACGTGCGTTGGTTATCCTGTTAGCATTACAGAGCCAGTAGGAGAAATTTTCCTAATGATCACGTAAATCCGTACTTTCCGAACGGTGTTATCACTCAGAAACTACTCAGGCTAATTGTAACCGTAGTCATTTTCCCGTTTTCCCCAAAATATAGTGAATTCCTTCCCTTCCCCCCAACCCTCCCCATTAAGAACAAAGCATGCGACCTAAACTCGTTGACCAAATTGAGTCTCTTTAGAATCCTCCTATTTGAAACTGAAATAAAATTATTAGTCCCTGAAATATCGACAAACCTCAGAACACATTTGAGACACATAAACGCCGTATAATGGTAGTTCTACGCTGAAATTATGTCTGAAATTTAGCACTTCCTATCACAAGCATATATAATAAATATTTACCCATAAATTGTTGAGTTATTCTAATTATAATTAATTACTTTGATCAAACAAAAACCATTTAATCTTCCTTTTCTCTTACCCTTGTATTTTGCTCTCTTCCAGCACACTCCGTTCAAAATACCATAAATTGGCCGTCATCGAATTTGTAAAGAAAAGTACACACACTATTGTAGCGCTAGGAAGCCCAGGTTATAAGACCTTGATCTTTTTGCTATATAAGTATCGCTTCTACGCAGATAATTCACACTCAGGGAGTGAGATAAGATAGAAGTGTGGAATACCCAAGACGCTTCATTAACTTAACAAATACCGTATGTGATTGAAATCAGCTCTCGTATTCCTGGCGTTTGGAGTGATCAGATCACTGCTAGACCGATAGCAACTTAGGTTCAAGTAGCTATTAAGCTAACGGGAGCTGCAAACTCCCTCACTTCACTAATAACAATAATCGACCTGGGAACAGCCTGTGGGAATTCAACCTCTCGAGAAAAATCAAATATTGCGTCATTTAGCCTATTGCGTCAGCTTCCTATCAATCTACCTAATAGATCAATTGCTTACTTGTTAAAATTAATAACTTATCTGCTTCATTACTGTCATTTCGGAGATATTAGTAATTTGTAAATGCGCGTAGGAGAGATTAAAACAAAGCGTGATTTATGATGACGAAGTGGTTTCTTGCGGAAGGACTAATTGGGGGGGGGGGGGGGGGGTGGGGGGGGGTTGGTGTATGCAGGATCATAAATCATTGTTCTCTCTTTCCCCATATCGGAAATAGAGATGTGGGAAGAAAACACACTTCATCTCGCATGGCACATTTCATTAGGGAGGTAATTTTACCGCAGAGGACGTCTGATCGAATTATACTTGTGGCCATGTGCTAATCACTTATTATTTAGCAAGGAGGTCTAGAGGTCACTCTAGGACTTTTAAAACAAGCCATTAAAGGGCCTTAATAGTGCAAGCATATTAGCTGGCGTACTATGCGCTGCAATGAAAGCTTTACTAGCGCTGAGTCCAATTACTAACTAGGGTCCAGCGCGATTGGCTATTCAGAAGGTCGACCTGGAGGGTGATTTCAAGCATCAAACACCAAGGCGAACTATTTTGCCATTTAGGTTTTTAAGGGGGAAAAACGAAGTGTGTGTGAACAAGACGACAGGGTTCGCGAAAACTGCTTAGAATTTTGCGCGAAATGAAGGCGGAAATGACCTTATCAAATAATACTTAAAGTTTATACTATTTAAGTTCTTACTCAATCAAGCTAGTTTGTAACAAAATATGTGACAAAAAAAGCTTATCAAATTGGAACATTCTCGCCTCCTTCTTAGGGATTGTTCTCAGCCCAATAAGGTCTAATTTTTAAAGTGAATTTTGATAATAATTCTATCAAGTGAGTTCAATTTTGATAAAAATATTTGTTTCTATTTTTTTTTCAAATTAATCAAGAAAATTCAGCTTTAGAAAGTTAGAAATAGAGCCATATTTCCCTCAAAATCCCTCCAAAATTTTTGGCAGTGGCGTAGATTGACGAGTCTCCTGTTTATTTGCGTTAGAGAAAAAAGAGGACATGACATTCTAGCCTTTTTTACAGATTTGAGGGATCTGGAATACGCGACTGCCTTGTGTCAAATTGATGAAATAATTTTTATGGGCAGATAAATGTGAATACAATCTAGGAAGTTGCCCTGAAACCTTGACCAATAGCGAAATTCTTTTCAATAATTGTGTAAAATATCAATCGATTCCTCCTTAGGCAATCTCAAATCTAGTAACTTTTCAAAAGAAAATCAAACTTCTATATTCTATAAAGTTAGTGACAAAATTGTGCGTGTTTTGACATTTTTAAATAAAGTTAATTAAAACAAAGATATTGTGTTAATTTCATCGTTTCCTGTAAATTTAATTATTATAAAAATATATTTTTTGAAGCATGATTTCTAAAGCAAATTTCAAAAAAAGCATAATTCAAACAAAAAGCTTTTTCTCACCGTCAAGTTATATCCGTAAGGCGCGCTTTCACGATCCAATTCGACTTTGGAAATGAGATTGCCTTCACGATCGATATTCAATACCCTGTCTTCCACGCGAGTTCCCTTCGGCCAAATGATTTCATACGACAGTCGGGCAGATTCACCGTCGTCTTCGTCGGATGCCCTCACTTGTCCCACAATGCTCCCCTTCGGTTGACCCTCTTTGGTCTGCAACAGGATGGAAAGTGGTACGTGCAAAAACTTAGATCTTCAACAGTGAAATTTCGCAAATCGAGAAAGTTTGATCTGCAACTCTCCCTGATATTCAAAATAATAATTAATAAAATTGGTGGAAGATAGTGGAAATGACAGCAGAATCTGCTCGACTCGAATGCTGCAAATGAACAAACGTAAATAGGGTCTTTTTTAGTGTTGGTACATTTACATTGATGAATTATTAATTGAAACGATACGTTGGACTTAACAAAAGTGCTAATGACTGGCAATGCTATTACAACAATTGGTTGCGTTCAAATACCGATCCCTCCTCCCCTCCTCCCACCCCCCGCCCCCCCCCTTCTCCCAATTTCTGCTCTTTTTAACATCTAAACGCACTGATGACAAGTACCGCATTTTCCACTCACTGCGTTTCCATCAGATGGCATTCCAAATGGAAAGGCTCCACAATTATTATTTTTGCGAAATTTTCCAAACTATTCTGTCTCACTTCTTTTCAACGTCGTTTTGAATAACAACTCTACAATCTACCTATTTAAATTCCCAACATTTTAAGCAAAAAAAATTATGTCAATTGAAAAAAAAAATGTATTTCACACTATTTAATTAGCGCATAAATTGCATATAAGTGGATGTCCCATAGGAAAAGTATTGCCATTTCGATAATTACTACTTTTAAGGCGTTGACCTGAAATGGCTATGAGAAGTGACATTAGAGAAGTGAGCAAATGATGAGTGCGTAGTTCCTCTAAAACCACAAAGATTCAAATAGGGGGAAAAATTTCACAATTGCAATTTAGGAGATGAATAAGAAGGAAAGAGAAAGCAACTGAATCTTTGTTTGTGAGCCAATAGCGTAGTGGTGGATTTCCAAGATCGCCTTTTGACATGAATGGAAGAGGAGTCTCTCGGAGTCACTAATGAGAAATTCGCTGTTTACCCCCCCCCCCCACCCCACCTCCGACAAAAATCAACCACTGTATTGATCACGTGACCTTTGACCCCAGGGATACACGTTTATGGCCAAACGGGCTTTTGATATTCATAGATGAGATAGGAACGACCAAATAAACCGATTGGTAGATGCGACCTTTTCATTCAGTGCAAATTCACTACGTGGACTCTAACCTTTAATTGAATTGGATTTGAGTAACTATTTAAAGCATTGGAGATAGGCAGTATTGAGAGATACCCAAGAATTGTGCTATGATAATAAATAAATATTTTCATAAACCTCCCCCCTCCCCCCCCCCCATTAGTACACTGATTCCTCTCATGCTATCAATTTGACTGACTAGTATACTGTGCAATATGTTTTTTTTAATAAATAAAAGGACAATTATTCCCACTTGCTCTTTATTGAATTTTTAGCTGTGTCAAATCCCAGATATAGTTGCAGAAATAGAAATAAATGCCGCTAAAATTATTCCATTTAATCTGGAAAATCTGTAGATACTACCAGTGATAGCAAAGGCGCGCGTAAATAAATTTTAAAAGTCTGAACAGGGAGGAAGATGGGGGTCATAGTGCGATATCAACGCAATCGCATCAGATAATTTTGCAAAAGGCCGATCCGCAAAATTAGAGAATGCGCTTATTTAGAAGCACATTTAATGCGAAATAAAATTGTAAGCAGATTTTTTACCAATAGACTTTGAATTGCCAAAGGCGCATACTCAAGTATTTTTTTATTTCGTATTTTCTGTTTTAGCGATTTAAGTGAGTAAAAGCACTTTTAATCGGTAGAAAGCGCTCTAACTAGCAGCATATTGGCAAATGGCACTCATTGTAGCGAATTCAAATTGATTGAGAGACCATCTACTTGAGCATAAAGATGAAAAATTATTAAGGAGGTACATTTTCGGTTCGATGACAATAAACGTCAATTCACTTTAATAGAACACTTCTAGACTGCTGGCAAGGCGTCCGCACACACACACACACACACACACTCCAAATTCCGATATTATTGATTAATGTCTGAACTATCGAATTTTCCAAATTAGTCAATTTTAGTGAAAGTCCGAGGCAGTATAAAATGTTCTCTTGCCCGTTAAATAAATGCACTTTTAAAGGTTGACTTTTTATTGGAGAAAAAATACATATACATATATGCCTTCTTTGCGAGTTCCACACCTAAAAGTATGACCTTAGCCAGAGTTTGCTAAAAAAAATTCGCAACCAAAATGGATATGAAAGGAGTACCTTAATTAGGAAAAAAAAGAGAGAAAAAAATCTCAATCAGAATTTTTTCACGCATAGAAAAATACTTGATTTCCAATAAAAATGCTGCTTATTTGGAAAAAAAAATTAATATGGAAGCAAGGGAGTAGTTGACAACTTTAATTGCAGAAGCAAAGTAGGAAGGGCGTAACTTTCGAAAACAGCTCACAATTTAATTGCACCAAATATTCATTAAAAGTCCACACGCATACGCAATAGGGGGGGGGGGGGTTAGAACCTCACATAAGATGAGCTGTTTAACTAAGGTTTTTACCACCTCTAACCAACCATGCACACACACACACACAGACACACCACCTTCTCCCAACATCAAATGATTCCAAATTTGGCATTGCAGCGCGTAATCTTGGGGTTGGGGGGGGGAGGGGGGGGGGTTGGAAAACAATTTCTCGTAACACCACTCGCTACAACCCAAAACTTCCTCACAAGAGAATCAAGAAGGCATTTTATTTTGGATTTTGAGTTCATGTAAAGGTCAGATCAATTTTTAAAAGTTCACACCTAGGAAGATAGATTTTATTTTACGAACTTAAGGTCGTTCGCCCCCAAAACGAAACTCTAATCTTACAAAATGACAATGAGAATAAATTATTTTGTGTCACAAACTTGGCTTTATTAGAATGAAACAACGAATTTTAGTCATTTAGAAAAAAAACCTCGTATATAATGTAGAAAGTTCTCCTATTCGATAAGAGCAAGAAAACAAATAAAACATTTTTAAAAAATCTCTTTTAGAAAAACTGTGGAGGTGAATTTTATGGGTAAAAATGAACTACTGAACCCTATTTAAATAAAGTTCATTAAACTGCAGCTTATTTTAAATAAAATAAGTCAATTCCTTTTTGATAAAAACCAGAGTGTCTAATTGGGCAAGCCTTAGTTAGGTCCTGTTCATGGGGGGGGGTTAATTGTTTTATACTGAATACTTCACCTCAAAGCACTCCGGCTTATTAAATGATTTATTTTTAAATGCCACATTAACCCTCTTTCGTTCCATCTCACCTGGTTTTCATGCTCAGAGTGATTAGATGGTTGCAAATTTTATTCTAATATAAGCGCAAACGCAAAAGTACAAGTACCCATATTGAAAACAACTCAAATTCTGAAAGGATTATGAAAAACGAGAGAGGCATAAAGTATCTCAATAAACTCACTCCCATTCGATAGAAGGGGAATTCAAATAGCGGATCGCTGTCATTTTCATCCTCAATTATAATCCGAATATGATGAGTTGAAGAGAGTCTCGAACTGCCCTTGTCTTCGCAAAATATTCCAACTAGTCGGACTTTTCCGGCCTCTCGATCGAACATACCACTGACAAGAAGATCATAGATCATGACTTGAGGTAGCTGACCTTTCAAGACAAGAGAAAAGTAATGAGCATCTTCTGAACGCAGGGAACACTCAAACTGCCCTCCTTCACCCGTATCCCTGTCAGTGACTGTCATAGTAGCTATATGCTTTTTATCCAACTTGACATTTTCTCGAATGTTGACCGTGGTTATTGCAGATTTAGAGTCTTCTTTATTCTCAGACTTTTTTGACCCTGTAGATTGGACTATGATGTTGGGAGGATGGTTATTTGAGTCTTTTAACTGTATTAATACATCTGTAAAGGATGATCGTGGAGGTCGGCCATTATCAGAGGCCATAACTTGAAAATTCCATGATATTGGACCGTCATCATAACTCAAAGGTCGTGCTATTCTAAGTTGACCTGTGTGACTGTCAATATTGAAGGTTTGTTGTGTCTCCAAGGGAGTAGATCGAGCAAAGGAATAGAAGATTTTTGCATTTAATCCTTCATCTAGATCTTCTACTTGAAAATGGTCTACAAGCGGCCCCGCTATTCCATTATCATCGGACTGTCGAGAGATTGAGATCGGTTGCAATAGGACAGTACTTCCAATGGGTGTAGTTTCCGGAAGTTGGGCAATATATTTCTGGAATACAAAGACGGGAGAATGGTCGTTGTCATCGCTGACTTTAATATGAATAGCAAGAACGCCGGTGTGGTAAGGCGGACTCCCATCAATAGCTAGAAGTGTTAAATTCACCCAGGGAAGTTCCTCTCTATCCAAGGGTTTGAGAAGTACTAAAACTGGACTACCAATTTGTGTTGATTTGCTTTTTGTCTTCTTATATTGATCTCGAGTCTGGCGTCGATTGGGTGCAGACGAATGGAATGGATTTATTTTTAGCATTAAAAGATCCTCATGTTCAGGAGGGGTAATCAATTTATACTCCTTAATCCCATTGACACCATAATCAGGATCGTGAGCTGGGGATAATTCTGTGGTGAAGTTTGGCGCACTATTTTCGGGAATGGTTATAGTTACAATAGAGGTCGGCCAAGAAGGAGTGTTGTCGTTAACATCTTCAATATATACACGAAGGGAAATGTAGTTTCCATTGTTATCAACAAGAAAACTGGTCCATTCACAAGTCTCAGGATAACCGAGTTCTTTACAAAGAGCGGGATTGTCATCTCTATCGAGTTTTCCTGCAACCACCAGAGACCCCTCTGAATCAAATTTGAAGAAGGGATTTTGGGGAAGTGAGAACTGGAAGCGTCGATCTAAAGGAAGACTGATTTTGTCATAAATACTTCCAATAATCTGGCCGGGTTCTGTATTCTCTTCCACCTGAAATACAGCCTGCTTAAGATTTCGTCGTTCAATTCGGGACGGTTCAAATAAATTTGAGGAATTGGAGGTAAATATCTGCATGGAGAGAAGCATTAAAAGGCGCAAGTAAGCCAGAAATTTTGAGACCCGAATATACATTTTAGATAAAAAGAATAAAATTTAGATAGATCCATGAAAAGTTGTCCTCTGGAGTCAGCATTCGAGACGATGGCCCAACACGTGCGTACGGCAATTTGCGAAGTGGCCTTCAGCTCTCCTCGCATTCCAGACACCGAAGAGTGTGCTAATTGGTTCACGTATTCACCAATGGTATTGCAGCGAAAATTTTATTGGTGGGTACATTCTTACATTGCCATTGGCTAAACCTTTTATTTGCTTTTCGCTAATATTGCGGGTCTTGACATCATACGTACATTTCAATCAACACACCCCCAGGTTTTCCTATTTCTGAAAAAAAGGAACACTACTCTTAGATGAGGTTAAGTTGGAAATAATCATTGATTTTTATCATTACTTAGGGGGGGGGGGGGGGGGGCACATATTGATCAGTCGAATCGTAGTCATACTGTCACCTGGAAAAATTGTATTTTACTATATTATTATTAAAACGCATTTTGATGAAATCGAATGGCCATAAAATTAATAATTATATATAACCGGATCTAGCGTAAGAAGACCCTACTAAACAATCGAAAAACCCGGTAGATATAAGCAGGGTAGTCATAGGTAACTAAGTGCCTCTAGAATTCAAATAAAGATAGAATTGTGAATAGAATTGTGACGAAGACCTTGCTCCAAACCTCTCTTCATACTGCTCCTATTCAGTTGATTTCTATAATTAAACTGGACTGGCGACTAGAAGAACAGAGATCGTGACTGCACTATTCATGTTTTGTCTCTTGATCAGCTCTTCACTCAGAGGACGCACATGACTCCTCCCGAAAGCGCCAACAGTCCGGAGGCGTCTAGATATGCCAACATCTAAAACATTAAGATAACTTGTATTCGCCTATAACGCCTTTGTTCGGTTAGCAAAGTATCTTACGGTTGATGTTTTCTGCCTTGGACTTCTCTCTCCCTCCTTCCCTTGAGTCCATGGCAACTCTTGTCTGGCATTAGTGAAAGGGATTGTAGCTAGGCTTCCTAGCCTTTCAACCACATAGAAGTGTTAGACCTTACAAACAAAGTAAGTTTAAATGAAAGGCGAAAAAGTACCATGCCGGGCTTATCAGAAATGCCTTTTTTTCCTTTTGCTAATTCCTGCTTTGCCATTGGTGGGAAGGTTTCAGCATTACAAAGGTAATTTGCTTTACGGGGATAAAAATGCTCCTGCAATTAAGGACTAAAGGACTTGTTCGCGTAAGAGCCACCATGCTCGAAAAAAATATCTTTCCATTTAGTGTCTGAAGGCAATAGGGCTCTTATGATCTGCTGACACCTAAAATTGGCAAATTAAAGAATGTCACTAGAGGCTTATTTTGGAATTTCTCAGGAGATTTTTGTGACAAAGGCGTTAGCACCATATTTTTAAAAATATTAGCGATGGTAACAAAATAACGAGAATCTAACCCAAAAGATGGTTTTGAGTTGTAGTCAAGGCTCACGGCAGTAAGTCTGTAGGGGTCATGAAATTCAATTTACGGGGTTAGTCGCGCCACCTTCGAAATTCTAATTTCTTGAATTGAATCATATTTACTTTCTTTCCAGGTAATCAATTCTCGAATAGACACAATTGCCAGTACTTGAGGGGTGTCCATATTTCCTTTTAAGGGGTATGCGATAGACTTACCTCTCCACGTGGTGCACCCTGGGCAACGTATATTCATACGGCAAAAAAGTCTATTAATCGGCCGTTGACTTCTGACTTCAAACTACCTTCACCCCACTTTATGTCATATTCGACTACTACCACGGTACTCACATCACCTTTTTTCTACCTTTGTGTCTGTCTCTTTTACATCTTTGGAACACTTCACTCTATGCCATATTTGACTATTTTCACAGTACTCACTACCTTTTTTCTACCTTTGTGTCTGTCTCTTTTACATCTTTTAAACACTCTTTTGTCCTTTTTTCTACCTTTGTGTCTGTCTCTTTTACATCTTTGGAACACTCTTCTGTCCCGCCCCCCTCTCGAATTTTTTTCACTTTGATATTTCTTATCTGTGAGGCCTGAAGTTTCCTAAACGGCTAATTATACTATCAAAATGACTGCCATTTGATATAAATAAATAAATTTCTTGAGCTAATTGTTAAATCGTTAGTTAGGCCGGCTAAACTAATGATTCAACTTTGGCAAGATTGCCTGCAGAAAAATTTGTCAACTCACACAAAGGCTAGTTTTCTGATTCAGGTGTGTGTGCAAACTAGGATCTGACCATTTCTGAACACTTCATTTCAAAAGTCATCAACAAAGGCGATGCCTGTCCAATTATACTTGAAGGCCCACTGAGATTTAAAGAATTAGGGTTGGTAGTTATACAAACCCATTTCAGTTCCCCTTAATAGGGCCATTGAAATAGCATTTCCCATTTTTTTACATAGAACCTTTGTTTGAATGAACTGAGACCAATAATTTATTTAGAGAGCAGTTAGTTAGATTGAGTGTCGATATTTGATCTGCAGGTATTAGCCACAGAGCAGTTACTTTGCAGAGACGCAGATTTGTGATTGGTAAAATGGGTTCAGTGTTTTCTACTTAACGAATGCGGCTTAAAGTTAACATGTATTGATAGCAGAGATATCTATTGCGGTAGTCAAAGTGCATGCTCGTAAGGTCAGAGATCATGAGACTAAAGTTCACGTCTCCACAGCCTTTGAAGTTAATTGTCTTCCACTAGGATTAATTTCAGCCAATCAGGTGGGGGGGGGGGGTTTGAAATTTAAGGTGCTGGGTGTTTTCCTCCTATCCGCGTCAAGGTTTGGCAGGACCGCTCTCAGTGGGCCCTTAAAAGCACATGAGGCTCTTTTGGTATTAGAAGAACCACCATCCTATCTTATATCCTGAAATAATTGATATAAGACATTCGGTTTGTCAAGTTAAAAAGGACTTTCATCCTTCCTGGCAGCTCAAATTGAAGTAAACTTACTTTAGAAATCTTCATGTAAAGTAGAGGAATCTATTGAGTAAACAAGATTTCAAAACTTATTTTATAATTAAAGTTTAATGTAAACAGTAAAGGAGATGGGTACTGTGTTTTATCCAATTTTACCCAGGATGACAAAATTGTCCACCTCCCCAACTATTTCCTCTTTTTGCACATCTAACTATGTACCATTAGTAATTTTGGTAAGATTTTATTTATTTATAACAAATAATGATAGTTATCAATAGCCTTTTAGTTGACTTCGGGCTTCACAGAGGAGATGCGAACCATCAAAATGAGAAGAATTTCGGCAGGGAAAACAGAAGAGTGATTCACAGATGTAAAAGAAACAAACAGACAGACTCCAAGGCTCAGTAAGGGTAAGATGAGTACTGTGGTAGGGGTCGAATATGACATACAGTGGGGTGATGGTAGTTTGAAGTGAGAAGTCAACTGCCAGTTAATAGACTTTTTTGCTGTATAAGTATACGTTGTCCAGTGTGCACCACGAGGAGGTAAGTCTATCCCACACCCCTAAAACTTAGGTAGGGTAGAATTAAAGATACACTATTATGATGTCTGAGGAGGGGGTTAAATCATAAATATTTTGTGGACGGAAAACGTGTGGCACGAAATTGTTCCACCTCTGCTCCTGCACACACACATAGACGCAGTTTCCTCAGTGCCACATTACCAAGATAGCCAATCAATCCCACTAACCTCAGATGTTTATCAACACCTGAACAAGCGTTGAGTTACGGATTTTCCTCTTCCTAGGGATGACCAACTCTACCAATGGCAAATCTCAGTAGGAAGAGTGGAAATCAAATTGTCTAAGACAGTTGAAGCAACTTCTAATATAATTTCTTTTCTTAAATTCGAATGCCTCGGCTCTTCCCACCTCGAAATTGTCATAATCACATCCAGCATTTGTCGCGTTTTCTTTTGTTAGCATTTTTGGGGACTTTGATCGATTTAGAAGACGATCTTCATAAAAGGCACATTTAGACAAGAAGCTAAAGTAACGAAAATTGTCTCACGGAATTTTTGTCATGTAGCCAAATTTAAGGTGACTGGACACCACTCTGGTGATTGGAAAAAAATTTTTGCTACTGAAGGTGGTCGTGAGCTGGATGTCGGATGAATTTACCGAAAAGATATATTTTAAGGTGGATGCGATTTGATACTCCTGGGAATGCGAAAGAAGGAGGTGAATACGAATAGGATTACCAAGTAAAAACGTCTAGAGGAAACCGGCAGTTGACTTGGTACCACAAAGTGAGTTTTTTTCTTGCCATGATTACTTACCATGGGCATATGTTTGTAAATTTAGTTTTTTCAAAGTCTGCAAAATTGGGTTTCGCGATGGGCCTACCTCCACGAGGTGCACCTTGGACAACAACGGCAAAAAGTCTATAAACCGCCAATTGACTTCTGACTCCAAACTAACATGACCCGACTGATTGTATGTCATAGTTGACCACTTTCAAAGTACTCACCTTACCTTACCTTATTCTCTACCCTTGTGTCTGTCTCTTATACATCTGTAAAGCACTCTACTGTTCCTACCCCCCCCCCATCCCCTTTGAATTTTTGTGACTTTGATGTTCCTCTCCTCAGTGAAGCCCAAAGTAAACTGAAGAGCTAATGATGACTAACATTAATTTCAAATTTCAGGCTTTATTATAGTTATCATTAGCACTTTAGTTGACTTCGGGCTTCACAGAGGAGAGGAACATCAAAATGCAAAAAAGTCGATAGGGGGAGCAGAAGAGTGGTTCACAGAAGTAAAAGAGGCAGGCAGACACAAAGTTAGAACAAAGGTAAGATGAGTACCGAGAAAGGGGTGGAATATGATACAGTCGGGTGATTGCATTTTGAAGTGAGAAATCAACTTCCAGTTAATAGACTTTTTTGCCGTATGAGTATACGTTGCTCAGGATGCACCACGTGGAGGTAAGTCTATCACATACCTGCCATTTGATATAAATAAGTACGTCTACTAAACTCTGTGGCATTGAAAACTGCCCTTAGAAGCAAAGTGAAATTAGA